GAGCGGCAGGTGGCCACCATCGCCCTGCAGCAACAACGAAGGGAAGTAAGACTGATAGCTCAACCGGCTCAACCCTCAAGACATCGAACCGCCAAGACCCTTAAAACTCTCCTTTTTTGCACCTGGGCTTGGGGCTAGCCAAATCCTTACTCTAAACCCAACCCGGCCTGAATTCCGCTTCTGTTCCCGAGCGCGTGTCTAGGCCAGCGGAGACGGGCTGATATTTTACCCACCACTGGTAGCCCAGTACCTCGAAAGTTTGAGGAAAAGGGGAGGGAGAAGGCTTTTGGCGGTGATGATGAGCAGCTTCTAGCGACGGCCAGCCCGCAATTCATGCCATTCGATGACAGCTGTTTGCATCATCCAATGGCCAGATCACAACCCTAACGAAGGCTGCTGAAACAAGTTCAAAAACGTTTGCGGAAAGTTGCGAAAACCTACGGAGAAGCTCTCAGGAGCATAAGCCTGGCATTCCCTGCACGCGAAAGCACCAAAACCCCGAACAAAAAAAAAACTCACTGAAGATGACTTGGTTCGACATGTCATATCCACTTTCCTTAATAGACTTGGCTTCGAGATCTGTTGTAGGACAACACAGCCCAGGCGCATGTTCAGTGACAGGTGCCACTTGGACAGCATCGAAGCCATTCGGAGCCAGGTATTCCTTGAGGTCTGAATAGTGCGGAACATGCCGCACGAACACTCCTTTCACACTGACTCTATGCTATGTCTCATGTGCTCTGAACTTCTAGCGTCAGGACGGCGACGATGACCGCTGCCTACCCCTTTCCGGCGGTTTATTCCCCAACATGAGACGAAGACACGTACTACACCCTAGGATGCAAGCGCGCGCAGCCAGCACACCATGTCATGCTAAGAACTTAAACTGGCAGTGAGTCCGTTTGGTGAGTTGCCAAGGGTCCACACACTCCTTGGCAATGTCGTTGTAGTTCCACTCCATCCTTGGCTGCTTCCGTGCATTGCAACTCCCCAGCACACCTCGCCCTCCAAACATCCTGCTAAAGGCCTCTTGTTCTATCAAGGCTCAACTTGACAAAAACGGTGGACCTCACCTCTTCACCATGGAGGCCACCTTTGCCCGGCTGATAGCCGCAGAAGCTGCTGACGACGGCGGCGTGGTCGTTCCTTTGGCTCAAACGCCGCTGGGTGAGCCCTTCCGTACCTTCGCAGGCTGTAGAAGTCCAAACCTGCTTGGTCTCAAAGCCGCAGGTGCTGCAGCCAGGGCAGCTCTTGGCCTGTACTTCTGTGCAGAGCTGCAGGCTCTGAGCTTTGCAGATCGCCTCCGCTTCGGAATAGTTCTTCCTGTCGTGGCACCCATACTCGTCTTCACTGGCCACCGAACCGTCACTGGAGCAGCATCGGACCGCGGCTTCTTCGGCGGGGCGAGCGCACACTGAGTGGCTGACTTCATCTGACACAGTCTTGTGAAACTGCAGATTACCGAATCCATCGTGTCGGCTGCGGTTCACGAGTTCCAGCATTGTGGCAGATGTCGCATCGGCGGCTACAGATCCACCGCTCCCTTCTGACACATACTTGTTATGAAAGCTGCGCAGCGAGACCTTGCCGCCGTCGTGCTTCACAACATCAAACTCCTCCCAGTCATCCCACGCCACGGTTACCGCCGAGAGGTGACCACTCGGCTCTGCTTTCACGAACCGGTCGTTCTGCGCTTTCAGAACAAACTTGCCGTTTTTTGCTGGCATGAGCAAGAAGAGGGCCTCGGGCACAAAGGCCTCCTCCTCAGCCTTCATGGCTCCGTCTTCCTCTGCTGTGATGTAGTGCCCATTGGCAGTTTTGAAGGTTACCTCGGGTGCCCCATGATCAGCTGCGATTATTCTTGAAAGACCCTAAGGGCCTCTGCAGCTTTGCCCACCTAGGAGGAGCTGTTAGTCCCTGCACTAGACTGCGCCAAACCCTGACATCCTCTTTCGAACCCTGACAGTCCCCTACGCCCGATGCAGATCCGGGCACAGCATAAGGGGACTCGGAGAGGCCGCCACCAGGCCCAGAGGACATCCGAACTCGGGCGAGCGTGGAGCAGTGCCAGAGTTCGCACCTTGGCATCGCTGCTGAGTGGCTAGGACCAGACCCCGACGAAGGAACCGCCACGGTTCAAAGAAGGTAGGATTGAGAATCATGTTGGTTCCTACAGCAAGCCGGAGTCTATCGTGAAATGCTCCCCGCCCCAAAGAGCCGGTACATGGAGCTAACGTAGTCGCAGCAGCAGCATCTCTACAAGTTACATGGGCGATCATGCCAAACATCCAACAACGGCTAGGCCTAGTCGATAGAAGGAGCGACATCACCAATACTCATGGCCACCCCCATCCGTCACTACACGATGACCCATACCACTGCGTAAGCATGTTCACTAATGCCCTCCGGGCTACAAATATGAAGAGGGATCCGAAGCCCTTTCAAAGCTTAGTGCAATACTTGGTGCATGCATGCATGCAGGTAGGTATGTGTGCATGTAGGTATGTGGGTAGGCGTGTATGTATGTATGTATGCATGCCTGTATTTTGAGATTTGGATATACAAGAAGTACTGTAAACATGAACACATTGTCCCCCCATGTACAGTGTGGCTTTCTGTGTGTGTAAATGACGATGCGCAAATATGTAGAGATTGCACATCCCAATATATACATACAAAATTTGTATATATCTCTCTCTATATATATATATGTGTGTATATATACGTATAAAACATAAATATATATATATATACACATAAACTACACATGCGGACTGACTGATGGATTGTCACCCCAGCACTCCTGTGGCAGCCCCCGCGGGGCCACTGTCGGGAGCCGTGCGCCCAATTAACACCATCCGTACGTTTGATCCCCCGCTCATGTTACCAGCAGCACTACGAGGGGTCGCGCACCCTCACACCATATCCACTTACCTGCCAAGCAGTTATACTGATAAGCGAATATGTATATACACATATGTGTGTGTACATACATGTGAATATATGTGTATGTATATGCATATATATATATATATCAGTTACTACGATCGCAGACGCTCGGTGCCCTCACTGAACAGACGATCGGCGATCGCACCTTTTTCATGCGACCGCAACGTGGGAGTCGGCCACAAGTCGGATCATCAAAATTTCACTTGATCTTCACAAGTCCGATCGGACCCCCGATCACCGAGGGGTGCGCCATGGCATTCACTACAGACCGCAACATCATCCGATCGGACACATCAGACAAGCGATATTCCCCGTGAACAAAATCAAAAGTCTTCGATCAGATCCGCTGGCTCGGGCGACGGCTCTTCGATCGGGTCGTCATCGAGAGGAGCCGCACCGAGCAGATCGATCATCTGCCGCTCGGCCACCCGAAAGGCCTCAGAAGGGGTAGCTTTGGCCTTGGCGCGAGCAGGAGCCGCGCGACCAGCTTTGTACGCCGCGATCTGGGCGGGGCTGGGCGGCGCTTTGGTTTGCGGAGTGGAACTTCTCGTAGGCACCATGATCTCGGTACCGGGAGGGAGCTCCGCATTGGGCGGCAGTAGATCGAGCCGCCGAGGTGACTGCCCTGGAACCACGTAGTAAGCAGGACCTGCGATCTGCACATCAGGCGGCACTTCATTGAGCGACCTGGGAGGCTGTCCTGGGACCACGTATTGAGCAGGCTCGGCGAACATCGGTCTTCGCTCAGCTGGAGCCGCACGAGCTTGACGAGGCGGGCCAGCTGTGGGATCCACATAAAAGATCGGCTGATCATAACCTCTATTCGGAGCAGCCTTAGCCGGCGGAGCCTTTGGCTGCGGCCGCTGAAAAGGAGGCCGGCCGGCGATCTGATCCCAGTTCAGGGGAGGATCCGCCCCGTGATCGTATCCGGCCGGCTGGTGACGATCGCGATCACGATGAGCCGGCGGAGTCACCCAGGGGATCCCTCTGCAGAAATGGCACATATCAAAGCGACGATCGCAAGCCGTGCACAAAGGAGTGAGTTGATTGGGAGCCCACTCTTCGCCGGGGACCCGAACGGCTGCGTAGCATTCGTCGCCGCCGTCCCCGTCGCAGAAGCAGCCGGTGAACAGGCCGCAATCTACGCAGGGACGGCAGAGCTGCTCTGTTGTGCCGAAAGCGAGCGCTTGAAGGCCAACGTCACCGCGAGGATCCCGCATACCGAAAAGAACAGATAGGGCGGAGAGGGTGGGATTTTTCGGTATGGCCCGATCGGCTATCGCCAAAATGGCCACGGAAAAGAAAGATCACGTCTGTTCCAACGATCGCGAAACTGATCTCCTAATTCCTACCCACCAGACCGATAATTAGGAGAGCAGTTACTACGATCGCAGACGCTCGGTGCCCTCACTGAACAGACGATCGGCGATCGCACCTTTTTCATGCGACCGCAACGTGGGGTCGGCCACAAGTCGGATCATCAAAATTTCACTTGATCTTCACAAGTCCGATCGGACCCCCGATCACCGAGGGGTGCGCCATGGCATTCACCACAGACCGCAACATCATCCGATCGGACACATCAGACAAGCGATATTCCCAGGCCCTCAAACTCCCTTCGGAAAGTCCGAGAGGACAGTGATCCAACCACACATCAGACCTGTAGCGACATCTCCACGAGAGGGGTTATCCGCAGGGTTCCAATCGGTCGGTACCCGATCGATATAAACTGAGCACCTAAGCTCCAGAACAAGCTCCCAGAAAATTCCTACGAGCTCGCAGACGTCCTCTTTTGCAGAGTAGCCTTTGATCAAAGCTGCCTCCACAGGCTCAGAATCGATAAAGAGGAGGACCAGCTTTCCACGGATCTCTTCCTTGAAAGTCTGTATCGCAGCGACCGCGGCTAAAAGTTCGATCATGCAAATCTGGGTCTTACGGGGGAACCATCTCGACATGATCTGTCGTGACACCCCGGAGGCGAATTGCCTAGGCTGATCGTCCCTAGTGAACATCACCCCTCCAATCATCTCAGAAGAGGGATCCTTGCGGTTCGAGCTCGGCGCCGATCCATCCGTGAAGATCACCACGTCGGACTTCCGCGGCCCCGAACTGGGGATAGGCCTCGGAGGCCCATGCATCACGAGCGTCCGCCACTTGTAGAGGGAGTAGAGGAGAGCAGGCGACAGGCTCGTGCTGACCGTCTTCCGGGAATACTGCCGCTCCGACAGAGATCTCAGAAAGGCTCGGCCGATCTTTCCCCAGAGCTGAGAGGCGCCGAACATTAGCTTCCCTCTGAGCTTCCCGGCTTGGCCAGGAGAGAGCTCTTCGTGTTCCAGGATCGCCGAGATCTCTTCGAAGAGCTCCTGCTTCCTGGACTTCTTGATCTTGAGCAAGTACTGATCGAGGTCGTAGGTCACGCCCAAGATCGTGGGATCAGAGCAAAGCTGGAGCTTCTGCTGATCAAATCGCGCCCCGAGCCACCAATGGACCTTTTCGGCAAGCGCGAACGCACTATCTGCCGTGGCCTCCGGCTCGAAGCCGTACTTGTCGTCGTAGAAGTTGAAGCCAGCCACGATGAACACGCGCCTTAGAATGTCGGTAATCGCAGCCGAGCGGCGGTTGTAATTATATACGGCCGAGACCAAGCCGAAGGAGTGCCCGACCATCACAAAGAAAGCCACCTTCCCCGTGGCCGGATCCTTCAAAGCGACCACACTCCACTTGCGATGGGCCGGGGAGATCGGTACCTGCCGATAGGCCCGCCGCTCGTCCAGAACCCAACCACGCAGCGGGGACTTCGGTAGCCGCGAACGCAGCCACTTGATCACCGCCACGTTCGCGTCCGTCGAGGGGAGTTCGAGTTTCTCGGTGACGATCGTCGCCATGTTGATCCCATTAGAGGTAGCACTATCGACTCCCCTGACTTTGTTCTTCTGGACCACTTCAAAGCGCTGAGTAGGGATCCAGTGATCATCGCCCACAAACTCCGAGACTTCGGCTTCGTCGAAGAAGGGACCGATCGCCGACCCTTCTCGAACATCTTCCACGGTCCCTTCCCAGACCTTGGGAGAGTGCTCGGTAACCGGAGATCTCCGGATCGCACTTAACACCTTCGATCGAAATTCCCAGGCCCTCGAGCGAAGGGCATCAACCGAGAGGTGTTCCGCATGCGGTTTGCGGTCAGGTTTCCATCTGTGGGAAGAGGCGATGTCGCCGACGATCGGCATGCCAGCCATGATCTGATCCACCAGGTCGACGTCGCTGCATTTGGCCGCATCCATGAGCTCTCGCCAGAGGGCGACGTGGAAGAACTGACCCATCTCCAGTGGACGATCGTCGGGGGCGCCGCGAAGAAGACGGCGCAGATGCTCATCTGGTATCTGCTTGAGCAAGGTATCAGAGGACGGGAGCAAATCATGAGCTCGCTGTTCCCAATGTTGCAGGAGAGAAGCCCGACGATCGCGAACTTGAGCAGGATCGCGGACAATCTGCTCAAGGACCGCCAAAAGATCTTGGTCGATATCCGCATCCTGCGTGAACGGGTGTGTGGCGTCTACAGCGAAAGCGATCTCTTCGCCCGGGTGCATTTCAGCGCCGATCAGCGGAGCCACAGACTTCTTCATCTGGTAGCCCGCGGCGACTGCCTTCTTACCAGCCGATCGTTGGCGATGCTCCTTGGCTTTGACCGGGGCACCGTGGGGCCTTTTTCGATCGGAGTCCGGGGTCTCGAGCGCAAACGTGAGAGTCTGCCAGGACTGATCGACGTGATCGTCCGTGTGCACCAGAGCCGGCTGGACACCAATCCCGAATCTCCTCTGTCCATTTGTTTTGGACATCGATCCATTTATCCATCGTGTCGTTCGCACTGCTCCGCCAAGCCTACGCAGCAACGCGAGACTGGACACGCTTCGAGAAAACCCCACTCGTGAACCTCTTCAGACCCAATCTTCACAGCATACCGCGTTACACAGCACACTTCCCTCAATGACACTTCACAGATCTTCAAGGTTTAGTACAGTTTGACTTTGGGGCACACAGTGTACATGCAGACACACAGAGCCTTGTAGACTTCCAGATCGTGCTCCAAGTTTTGGAGGCAAAGGGCTTCCAAAGCGTGCTGGCGCTCAAGCTCTGCTTCCTTCATCTTGTCGTCCGCCTGTAGAACCTCCATGGTCTTTCCTCCATCTTTGACATCGCCACCTAAGAGCTGCTGTACCAGCGGAATTTCACTTTGCACAAGGGCGAGCCCGTCCCTGTCGTGGACATAGTCCTTGCAGGGGTGATCAGCGTGGAATAGATCCACATGATTTAATTCACACATCCAGCCCCACACGTTGGTCAGAAATGGTTCTGGCCATCCTCGTCAAACTTTTTGGCAAACAGAGCATCCAGTCTGGCATTCAGCCGCCCGTCCTGAAACGCCTGGAGCCATTTCTCCTTCGAGTCTTCTTCTGAAAAGACGTGCTCCATGACGTTCCATGCCAAAACTGCTCGGCTGACATAGGTGGACATGCTCGCAGGGCCGGGCGTTCCCGGGACCTGTCCCCGACCCACCTGCTCCAGCATGAAAAGAGTGCAAGGCTCCGTGCCGAGATACAGCTGCTGCATTTGTTCGTGCGCCAAGTCACGCCTGCAACAGCGATCAAAAAAACCCGCGAAAGCCCCAGGACGTTCCAAGACCGCTCCAGCTAGGGCGTTAGAGATTCCCAGATATTCCCAGAAACACCCATACGCCCTTACTTCGAAGTCGTAGACCTTCCCTTTTGTAAAGAGACCAAATGACCCCACAGACCCCATGGGTGGCCCATCCGGCCCACTCCGTCCCAGGAGATCAGACCCAGTAATCGCCCAGTAAGCCCGGAGACAGATCGGAAATGAGAAAGGGAGGGACGCCCCTCCAGAGACACGGCTCAAGGGCTGTGGACATGAGGCATTTTTTCAAACAGACAATTTTTCCATAGACACCGCCAGCCATGATCTGTTGAAAGCTGCAGACATCTGACTTGCTTGACTTGTGCCGTAAGAGTAAGACTCGGGCTGCGACAAGGTCCTGTAGAAGCCAGGCTGCTCGAGCATCGCGTCGTGCCAGTATTCTGAACGAGAGACGGAAACCATCTTTTCCCAGACCTGTGCAACTAAATGGGTGTGGGCACACAGGGTTGTGGTCCTTGTTGCTCATCTGGGCCTGGTCGGAGGTGAAGCAGGGTGCAATCAAGTGTCTCAGCACAAAGTCGCTCTTGCCCTTAATCTGCTGCTTCGGCTGGAAAGCCATGGCATTGTTGTAGCCCTGGCACCCACATGGTATTGCGGATACAGATACATGTGTCAAGACATTGCGTGTTTACTTGGCCTTGACCACGGCACGAATCTCCTTGCCAACTGAGTCGTTGCTGGCATTCTCCGGGCGATCGGGGTTGCATTTTTGCTGAAGCTGTCGCTTCAACATGGAAGCAATCATGACGAGTGTCAACTTCCTGTTCACTGCCGACTCACGGGCTGTTTTTGTCATGGCATTGAGCAGGGTAGCCTGCGCAGTGCGAGGCGTGTCACAAGGATTGTGTGAAACCTGCTTAGACCGAAACAAATCCAATGACACGGAATGACACCACGCGCCAACAAAGGCAACTGCAGCGGGCCTGCAAGGTCTGCTGTCGGCCACGGGTCGGGCAAGTTACAGGCACGGCTGCCATGAAACTCAAAACATCAGGTGGGGCGGGGTGTTTTTTTTCAAAGCATGCTGCACATGCGGCAGCCGCCAGACCCACTGCGCCCATCTGAACAGAGTTCTGGTATGCTCCTGCCGCAGCGTACCCCAGCCTCATGGAACCATAGTTTTGGCTAGGAGATTGGATGGGAGCAACCTCCATGGTGACCCGATTCGTGCCGTCCAGGATATCAAGGGCACACGGAACGCATTCAGAAGCCATGACTTCCACGCCTTGCCGCATCCCACATATACTCTGATGTGCGCAAACACACATGCACGTAACCACTCACCCACAGGCATATAAGTTCAAATGTATATAAGGCCCCCACCATAGCCCTCAGCTGTGACAAAGTTCAACATCGTCATGTGTAGATGACCTCTTGTGGGGCGAAGGCCACTGATAGCCTGCCACGCCGCCATGCAATGCGTCGAACCGTGGCCCGAGGGGAAAATCTGGGCGAACGCGGTCAGCATTGTCTCCACGCGTGTGTGGTTCTGCTCACTCCCAAGAATCAGCCGCGCGATCTGCTGCTCGACAGGCGTGTGCTCTCCTGACTGCTGCTTCAGTAGCTCTTCGGCAAACTTCTTGCCAGGGTGAACTGCCTGCGCGCCGAGCACCGTCAAGCAACGACACAAATATGGTGAAGCATGGCGAAGCAGTGTCATGCAACTGTTGCCTCCGCGCTGTCTGCATCCTTCAACCCGCCTGCGGCCGGCTCCTGCCGGCGAACAATGTACATGGTGCACGAATTCCCGCAGCGCGACCTGTCCACACAAGCCACATCTGGCCTTCTCGCTCGCATTGCTGTTCTCAATGAGTAGCAGGTCATCATCGGCATCCTGGCCGAGACCCTAAGAGCCGCCCGTGAAACTCACAGCTACCGACTGCACAAGATACCTTGAAATTTCTTGTATTATCTCGAGATATACGGGGCCCGGACGGATCGCCCCGGCCCGTCCGCGTCGTTTATGTCGCCTTCATGTTTCCTCTTCATGGCCATCACGTGCAGGACAGGGCACCGCCGTAAAACCCAGACACCCTGCAAACAATCCTAGACCAGATCCTGCATTATAATTGTCACCGTTTCTCAGGCACTTTCATCCATGTGCTGGCGTATGTATGCTGGTGCACCCATTTGGCTAAGATATGCTGAGATGCAAAAACAGAGTCACGCATTCATGCACAGTCACAACACGCTCAGAATAGCTCAGAAATACATGCAGTCTGACGCAAATTCGACAGCGCGCGCTGCCGACCCAGTCGCTGGCCGATCTGGCCTAGGCAGTGCTCCGCTGCATTTGCATGAGTTGAAACATCTTGGTTGCACGCAGGTTGCCACTAGACAGCACAAGCACCCAGCCATGACAGCAGGGCCAGTCTGCCTGTAACGTGTCGTGGCTGTCTCGGACGGAGACAGCCACGAAGAGACAGCAGAAGGCCTTGACAGCCAGGGCAATTGCAAGTTGGCTCATATTCCCCTTTGTGGCCTATGTATCTTGTCTTCTCTTGGTCGTGGTTGTCTACGGGCTAAACAACCACGGCCCGAGGCAGGCAGACCGACTGCACAATCATGGTTATGCTGCTGGGCGGTACAAGAAGAAGAGTGAAGATAATAGATCCGAAAAGCAGGACAAGCAGAAAAATGGCAGTTTCATGCATTGCATTAAGTTGTCTATGGTAAGTCCTTTGCTGTGTTTAGATGCCTCTCGTGTCCTTTTTCGCAAGGGTCCGTAGTTGTCACTCGCTTGTCCAACTTCAATGCGAACACACTCGTGTCATCCTTTCAATGACGCTGGTATAGACTGGCAAGAACAGTCGTATACAGACCCCGTCGTTGATCAAATTCTACGCGAAGACCTTGGTGCTACCCTTCAAGAAATGAAAATGTCTATCATATTCCTAGCGCGGCACCTTTGATCAACACCCCAAACGGCATGCCCACGCATGCTCAGCCTCTGACTCGCCTTCATACTACATCCTCATATATCCTCACTTCAGCGTGTGCAGCAGGGATGTCACAAGCAGTGCCAGAAGAGGCACGTGAAGCGTGTTGACAATCAACTTCTTGGCCAACTTGTTGTTGACCCTGCTGATCTCACTCAGCCCACTCGCACTTCGACCTGATAGGTCTTCAGTTTACAGAACAAACAAACATGTCTACAACGGTATATACACATACACTGCGACACACTGTTACACGCCGCACTGCTCGGCCAGACAAGATACAAGAGAATCCCATGAGTCTGGCCAGCGTTGCAGGTTCAAGACATTGCCTGAAAGAGCCGGCCACGTAGATGTTGGAACTCGTTGTCACCGCACCCAGTTGACCGTCCTTCCGTGCCTGGCTAAAATCGATGTTTTGACCGATGTCCAGCACGCCCTTCGCGGTAAATTCAGGATCGTCTGCGGCTAAAACTCGAAGCATATGCCGCACGCGCGGCGAGCTGCTGCAGGCGACAACTGACTGCGTGGCTGCAGTCATCTCTGGTAAGGTCGTCAGGCGCGCTGCCGACAGCCACTTTGCGTGGCGACGCGCCCAGCGACACTCCAGCCTTTTCCCAATGTCCGCACTGACACTGATAGTGGACTTGCATTGTGTGCAGCGGCACCTGTGTCGACCACAAACCAAGGGCTCCATCTCAGTGCATCCGCATGCATCTGAGTCACCTGCCGGGGGGCCCTCCGCCATCCCATACTCTGACAAGAGACTGAACAAATCTTCTTTGGCGTTCTTGTTTTTGAAGCTGGCAAATATTGAGTCCAGGAAACTTTCGAGGTCCTTGTCCGAACTGCATTTGCACATGCTCTTCTTGACGAATAACAGGAACCTGAGTCATGTTCTCTATCTTAGAAACACTTAGAAACTGCCATGTCTCTCGAAGCGTCAACGTACAGACCCAGATCGTACGTCTTGCCCAGAAGCGTACGGCGCCGCTTGCAGCAAAAGCCATACTGGCTGGGATCCAGGGCTCGACACACCACAAAGTACTTCTCACGGGCAGCCTCGATCTCTGCCTCGACGCCGTGCCTTCATGGTCCGCTGAATCACACGATATCACGTGATCTGGCAATCAGTAGCAGTCTATCCGTCATGCTGGGCTGCGATTTGTAATGGGGTCGTACGAACTCAATACAATTACAGGGGGCGTATGGATGCGAAATAATTAAGGGTCAGGAGGAACGAGCCGGGGTTGGCCTGGAAGATTCAGCTGGTGGAAACTGAAAGCCAACACAAAAGAGGAGAAATGAGGAGAAAGCAAAAGGCCAAAGATGACCTCCAGCCTTTAGGTCCTGAGGATTACACCCCACAAATCTGAAACGCAAAGCCTCTGGCCTCTGGCCTGCCAGGCTTCAGCCGCATTTTATATTACGTATCATTACAACTCATTACATTTTCGAAGTCTTCACGGGGCTCACTAATCAGAACCGCACCCACAGTACTGAACACCCCCGAAAAATCAAGCCCCGCGCTCTCAACAAGGCACAAGACGGACAGCAAGCGATCGCTGTTCTCCAGGAGTGCTGCATCCGCATTGGAAGACGTCACCCGCTCCACGCACATCCTGACGATCTTGCTCCGGGAATCGTCCCAACCCCGGGCCTTGCTGCTTCTGGGGCTAAACGGTTGACATGGGCCGCCGCTGACATAGAGAGTGCGACTTCCAGGTTTGCGTGGCGGACTGAGAATGTGCTCCTCCATCTTGTCTGCAACGGGAAGCCCGGATTGTCGCAACCAATGGCGTATGGACGTGCTCACCTCGCTCCCACTGAGCACAGAAAGATCAAGCCATGGCCATAACTGTGCTGCGACCTCTCCGATGGCATTGAAGCCTGTGCAATCCGTCCAAATCTAAAAGGGCAAGCCAGCTGAGCAAGCGTCTCCTGAAGAGCCGTCTGCCACGCAGGAACCGAAAGCCCAGGGACCCGCTCGCGGCAGAGAGGGTTAGCCGGCAGCACAATCTGCTTGGGTCGCCGGGAATCCGGGAACACTCCAGCTTTCTTGGCGCGCTTCCGCACCTGGCTTGCTTGCTGGGTCTGGGGCTGCTTGACATCGGTGTGCCTTCTCTTTTTCGCGGCTGCCGTGGCATCGACTGTGTGGGCGTCCCCTTTGGCTTTGCTGCTTGCTGAGGTGGCTGTGGCAGTGACGGTGTGACTGCCTCCTTCGGCTGTGCTCCGGGAGCCTTGCCAAGATCAGGCAGCTGACGACGGCAACAAGAATTGCTCGGAGTGCGGCTCTTGGAAAGCGGCTTGCCTCCCGGTTGCTGAAGCAGCGGTGGCAGTACCTGTGTGAACGTCTCCCTTGTGTGTGCCGCTGAGGGCCCACCAGGTCCCAAATCAGGTAACTGACCGGAGAGGAGAATGTGAAGAACCGTTCATATGTGCGACCGACTCCGGACGACTCCTGGTGTGCAAGGTTCCGTTTTCGAATCCCGAGGGCTCTGAGACGCATGTCGATGGCCTGGACACTCCAGCTCCCAAGTCAGGCAGCGTGCGACGACGGCAAGCAGTTGGGGGCCCACCCTCAACGCGCATGGCGCTTGCCTACCGGCTGAGTATCTTCTCTCTCACACGCAATGACGCACTGCAAAAATCAAGCAGTTATAAAATGAGTAAAAAGGTAAGCCAATGATAACTCAATGCCCCTCAGTTCTGACACGTGATTGCACTTCGCATGTCTTTGTCATTGTTCTTACGCCGAACAACATGCATCCACACGCCTTTCCGACTCGACTTCTGCCGAGTTCCCGACCATCCCCATAAGAACACTGTGCTTCTGGCAAATGGCACGAACAAGGCCTCCGTCAGACCCTTTGTCTCACTGCAAGGGTGGATCATGATGTCCCATCAAGATCCTGTCATATCCTGAAGGTTATACTCCCGGACAGGTGCATCCACATTGATGCTAAACGTAATTTGAAAAGAACTGCACAAGAAATGACAGTGAAACTCGTGTGTCTGCGGGATGCAAGCATCTCAAAATGACACTGGCCACACGCCGACCATCTGGGTGACACATAAGCTTGGCCGTCCTGTCTACTGCTGCGCTCATCACCATCTTGCAGGCGTGGTCCAGGGGCAGACCAACGCAGCTGACTTGTTTGTACAAGAGCGAGGTGGCACCATTGGACAATGCTACAAGATGCAAAGAGAGCCAAAGCCGCGATGTAGAGCACATCTCTCATGACACAAGCCAGTCTTATGAGTAGACTTTACATTATGTACAATGTCATGACTCCGTGATACTCCGTGTATCGTAGGCCAACGCACGCTGAAACCTGGCGCAAGCCTCTGCAGCGCTTCACACTAGAGGGCACGATCGCGAAACTGCGGATATGTGTGGCACAGCAACAGGCTCATGCAGCCAGCATGAAGAAATGTCCTGCTTTCAGCTTTTACTGGCAGAGACATGCAGGCACATCCCGCGCACGGTCTACTGACACGTATCTGTATAAGACTCAGCACACCAACCCCACGCCATCTCATGCTCTATCCTTGACCTCAATGCACCCTTTTAGGAGGAAATAGGAGGAATTTCTTGTGCGTCCCATCATAACCCAGCCCTGTGGGGCATGCTGAGCATCTGGGCTAATGAGCACTGCACGCTCTTCAAAATTCCAGCCCTGGCACGCCCTGGCCATCTGGAAGGTGCTCCGAGCCCTGTCTTTGAGCTAGTCACTTATAGCATCTGCGCCTGCGGCCAGCGTCATGGAACATCATGGTGTGTCCGAAAGGACAATGAAAGCGCTCATGGACACGCATGGTTTGCATGATATGTCACAGCCTGTCCTTCCTGCATGTTGCTGCCACCCGAGTTACACGCCAATCAGCGCCGGCTCGCTGAAGACACCAGCCCCCTACCCCCAGCCTCCAGATTTGTGCGGCGGCGCTTCAGCTTCTCGATTTCCCCCTCAATCTCCTTGCAGTAAGTCAGGTGGCGCCATGTGATTCCATGTGACACCATACATCCATATGTTGCATGAAAGCACGGAAGAAGGGCTCCTTGATCGCATCCTCTTTGATACGGTTCAGGATATCCTTGACACTCGTCCAATGATCTGCATCTGAAAGAACCAGGCGCCACATGGACGTATGGGTAGTTGCCACTGGCGCGGCGCTGCTGTACCAAAAACCACCCAGTGGACTTTGGGATGGCTTACAAAAAGCCAGATGCGCGGCTTGGGCGTCGCTCATTGTATGCACTGTGACGGACGCCTCCTGCATGCCCAGGATGAAAGCCGCCATGAACATGGCTTCACATCCTTGCCACAGCCAGGCTTTTCAGATGTGCATCAACAGCACGACACAGACTGCTCTATCTCATTGTGACATTTTTTCGCCAAGCAAGCCTGAAGGAAAGTAGACCTGAAAGGGCGCGCAGGGACTGTTTTCTCCAGGAGGTTCCGATGCAGTACGCGACTGATGCGCTCATCGTCCTGTTGCAGCGAAAACACAATCCATGTGTCATTGCTTCGCTGCGGCACTTCACTGCCCGCGTTCTGCGCCGACACATTGGAGTACCTCACCGAGATACTGCACCAATAGTCAGTGACAATGAGCAAGTCTACCTCTGGCAGGATGTACTCCATTCCCATGCTCCCACGGCCACTACCTTTCTGAATAACTCTCTCCGTCTGTAGGGACTCTTGGAAATCGTAGACTACCACCTGGAGAAGGACCAGCTCCTTCCAGGCATTCGTCTGTGCAACAGCCATAACTGTATGCATTTAGGCCAGTTTAGCTATATCAGGACATGTTGTTTCATGCTGCGTTCTTTCGAGGCCATGAAGTTCCGATAGTCCCTGACACTGCCCTGCCGAATCTTCTTCCCGGACAACGGGGAACTGACAGTGTGAGTCTGATGCAACCTCGGGTCAGAATCATGAATTTCAACATCCTTCAACCATGCCACGTTCAAGGGCTCAACAACAAGCATTATTAGCCACTCCAACGTTTGTGGCAAAGGCGCTCGCGCGCGTGAAAGTTGATGGCGGCGACAGCGGCTGCCCACTCGGATGCGAAGCAGTGAACATCGTTCACCACAAGCGATCTCAAGAAGCCACTCTCATCTGTTACCTCACGCCAAACGTCGAGGGTCATAGCAGAGAACAAAGTGCGCTGCATAGTGTTGCAACGCGGGTCGGGGTTTTTCCTTCAAGCCTTCAAAGATCTTGAGAGCCAAAAGCTGCATCGCCATGCCCGCTGTTCGCACACTTCTTCGGCACCTCTCAGATGCTCCTGCAAGACATGCGAGGCACAGCTTCAAGGCCTGAACGCGAAATCCCTACACCCCTGAGCCCAGAGGCACTGAGCCTGGATTAAGGACGTTCATAGCTTTTTGTTTTGTATTCTCACAGGAACAAAGCCTCTGGAATGCATTGCAACTGATCCCAAACCACGGGCTGCCTTTTCGATCTGTCTTCTTTGTGCACAGCATACACTTGGCCATGCGAGTTGAACTCCATGGCTGCTGTTCCCGGGGAGTGCAGTCTCATGGTCTCTGAGTCAACAACAACTCATGCCACGATTGGCTTCGAAGGGGAATTATGCCAGGATTGGACCTCGGATTTGTCTTTGCATCCATGAGACCTCTGCTAATCTCTCGACTTGTGCATGCCGAGCTTACATCTGTCTATGATCTCAGCAGTGCTCAACCTACGGGCTGGCTCGCAAACTGTTCTATGGACAAATTCCCGCTCGTAATCAGCAAGCAAGCCCTCAGAACATCGCATATTTCGAGCCTTGCCGAAAATTATATCCACTCTTTGAGGCAGAATGCCTCTCAAAGCCATCCCCAGCTCGCGACAATTGGGATAAAGCATGAGGGAGGCATGGGTGAACAAATCGTAAGCACAGCAGCCCAGGGCATAGATGTCTGCAGCAACCGACACGGTCACCAAGTTTTCCTGCAAGCAAAAATGTGTTCCGCAAAAAGCAGCCACATGAGTCGTGCACTCTGGAAGCACTTGTTCAAAAAAACGCACACTCACTGTCCTGCTTGTCCTGTTTTTCGAAGAGTTCCCATGGACGGTAGGGTCTGGCATAGACTGAGTCTGCCTCCACACGTGCCAGGCCCGTCTTGTCTAGTCTGATACTGAGGCCAAAATCTGCAATCTTCAGCAGGGAGCCATTGAACATGAGCATGTTGTTGGGCTTCACATCAGCATGAAGGACTGCTTTGTGGTGCATCCAGTTCAGCCCCTGAGCAGCCTGCCACAGCAAAGCCCAACGGCCAGACAGCCCGCTGCCATTTGCAACCTGATTTGCTAGCTGATTCTCCTCCCGCCGCAGATAATCCAGCAGGCTCTCTGATGCAACCTCCAAGCAAAGGCCAAAGCGAGGACCGTCATTTGTAGAAATGGTAACTGCCCCGAAGCACTGCAGTATGTGAGGATGTCCCTGCAGGTGTGTGTACAAGTCATACTCCGAAAGACTGGCATCCGTGCCACCAGCTTTGGCCACCTTCATGCCATACTCAGCTCCAGTGATTGTATGCTTGACCTGCAGAACCTTGGCATAAGCCCCGGCACCCAGAACGTGCATCTGGGAAAAAACGGCTGGCTC